GCTGTTCATGCACAGGGTGGACGCTGGCTCGGGCTTTGTGTGCTATCATAGCATGGCTCCAATTGAAGAAGTCTTGAAGTATGGAGGTTGTTCAAGCCTTTTGCCAGAGGTTTTGTCGAGGACTTCCTGTTCCAACTTGATTTTAGCTGGCCACTCTCTGGGAGTTGGCGTGGCTTATTGCTTGGCAGAGCAGCTCCAGACTTGTGGAGTTGAGGTGCAGGGCATCCTTGATTTGGACATGCGCAGCGTGCCGAGGACGCTTCTTGAACAACAAGGTAGTGCCTCCCTTCCCAGGGCTTTGCTTCAAGCTCTTGCGCGACACATGCATGTTGGAACGCTTCAGTTGAGGTTTGAAGCGACCTTGGCACCTGATCTTGCTTTGCCTCAAAGGGCCTTTGCGCTCACGGCCGAATTGACCGGTGTGACCAGGCCGGCACGCAGGACTTTGAATGATGCCAATCACTATTCTGTGGGAGAAGCTTTTGTATGGGACATTTTCGGACCTCTCAATGAAATCATGAGAGGGCATGGGTCCACGTAGCTTTCTCATTCGATTTTGCAATTGCTGCCCGGGAGTGCACTTGCAGGTGCTGTAGGCAAAAAATGGCTTGCTGAGCGGGTTTCTTGGAATCCCCTTTAGCCTCGCCAACTGTATAAACGTTTTGCAGGAGATCAGACGTAAACATGCAACAGCAACCAGGCAGGCAAGACAGGTCCTCACTTTTGCAGGGCCATTCCTGAGCTTGCAATGGATATTGCTTAATGGCATTCTTCCGGGGTTATACAGAAGAAGTGTTGGCTTGTGAAAACATTCTTGGCGATGCTTCTCATCATTGGATGACCTCGTGCAGCATTGCATGCCATTGTTGCTGCAAGCTATGCAACCTGTACGTTCGCCGCTCAGCCTTTTGAGTTCAGACACGCGCGCCTTGCGTTTCTGATATTGGCACCTGGGGTGCACCTGGACGCGTAGGAACTTGATTGTTCGGTGTTGGTGCCACTTCAAATTGGTGGTGCTGCGGTGCTGTATGGACTACCATCCAGTCACAAGCCACTGATTGCAGTGGAGTAGGCAATCCTTTTGCTTGCCAGATGTCAATCAATGAGCACGCCACTTGAACAAACACTTGGGTTCGCTTTGCGCATGGCACGTTCCAAGGCGACATGAGGCCGCCCGGGCCAACTCCTCGTCACGGATGCAGGCTTGTCTTTTTTCGGGGGCGAGCAACCATCCAACGCGTTCTACGGCAAACCTCGGAGAATCTCACTAGGGTATGGCTTAAAAAAGTCAAACCACCAGGGGCCCACAGGTTTTTGTCCTTGTTTCCATTTACCAGGGTTCCATTTATTTTTGAGCCACAGCCACTATACTTTGACACCTCCTGAATCACGACACGCATTTCATTCTCCAAGGCTTGGAGTCGAAGGTTGAACTTGGCCATCCAGAGTTGCAAGCCTTGCCAGGACATCAACCATCTTGCCGTGCAGAATTCATGGTGAAACCGTCAACTTTTGTCCGAGCTGCGACCTCATTGGTGCATTGCTCTTCCTTGAAAAACGACATTCTGACAGGATTCTCATCAAGCAAAAAGCTAACACCGCTTGCAAATGGTGATAGCACTATTTCGACGGAACAAGCAACAGTGATGAGGATTGACCAAGGTAACCGCTAAGCTGCTTGGGGAACAACCACTTTGAATGGGAGTAAATAAATCTCAAATATGTTTTCGTTCTTCTCCCTTCTTTCTTCTCTTCTTTCTTATGCACCTTGGTATTGTTGACCAGAAATCTCAGGCAACAGCAGCGCAATGTGAATTCCAGCGACAGTGGAACACACCCAGCTGGCGGATTTCTATCTGTTCATCTTTCTCTCTACCTAACTTATCTGAACTATCCAATCAGTCTATCTATTTATCTGTCTATCCATCTAGTCTACCTCATCTGCCTAATCTCCCTAACCAATCCATCTGAATACTATCTCTCGGTCTGTTGATCTGTCGATCCATCAGTCTGTCGATCTATCTATCACTATCCATCAGTGGATCTGTCCATCTATCTCCTTATACCGACCTTGCTAGTTCTACGTTCGTCCTTAACTTTGCCAATTTTCGAGCCGCAACTGCAAAAGTGTGCTTTGCGCGCATTACACTTTTTCAATGTTCGAGCCTCGGCTGGAAAAGCCGTTCTCGCGCTTAACTTTTCAAATTTTCGAGCCGCAACTGGAAAAGTGTACTTCGCGTACTTCTTTTGCGTGGCTTTTCCCATTGACGAGCTGCGGCTGGGAAAGCGCACTCCGCATACTACCTTCGCACTTAACCTTTCCAATTTTTCACCTGCTGCTGGAGAAGTGCGCTGCTACGCAGCGCCACGCAATACGCACCTTGAGTTGCGAAGCGCTGCGCGCGCAACGCCTTAGGCTCTTTGGACTACCACAGCGTTGCGCTTTGCCAAACAAACAGGACCTCCGCTTGCCAAAGCGCCCGTCTTCTCTCTGCGTCTTCTCTGCTGTGTTCGTCTCCTCGTCTTCTCTCCTCGTCTTCTCTCGTTGTTTTCTCCGCTCGCTTCCTCTTATCGTCTTCTCTGCGCGCTTTCTCTCCTCGTCTCCTCTCCTCATCCTGTCTCCTCGTTTGTTCTCCTCGGATTTTTTCCCTCGCCTTCTCGCCTCGTCTTCTCTCCCTGTCTTCTCTCCTCGTCCTCTCTCCTCATCTTTTCTCTTCGTGTTTTCTGCTGATCTCTGCTGCGATGTGCTGCGCTGGGACTACGCCGCTTTGCCCCGCCCGGGCAATTCGACTTCGTCTGGCGCCCGTCTGTGCCGAGTACTCCAGGGTGCTCACGACGAGGCTGCGCAGGCTCCACGAGGGCGACGCACTCGTGCTCCCGGGCCATCGGAATCATCGCTTACTTCGATCCGCCAATGTGGGTCATCAAGAACCCGCAGACAGGGCTCCTGAAGGGCCGCCCGCTCATGGAGCGCCTGCCACGGGTGGACGCCGACGCCACTGTGGACCAATATGCAATGGAAACCGACCCGCGCTCTGCAGGCCGGGCAGTCGCTGCGAAGCCTGGGAGGACAGCAGGCGCCGCCGGGGCCGCGGCTCGTGGGGAAGCACTATGAGCGAGCCTGCAGGCAATCCCGGCGCCGCTGCGCAACGTACATAATTCCCCCAGCACCTGCGCCCTGGCCTGTGGGACAAAACGCAAACTGAGTGCTCTTTCCATCAGAGGTGCAACGCTCCCATGAATTCTTTCCTCCCAAGCACACACCCACCTTACCTCACTGCTTCCCCCGACCCAGCGTTCCCGGAGTAAATGTAGGCCACATCCTAGAGAGCCCTCACTGCTCCAGTTTTCGGCCCAGTCCGCGCATTTAAGAGGCAGAGTGTCAGACTGAATGGAAGCCTCTTAAACAAAGAAAGTGGTGTCCTTCTTGAGGGAGATAACGGAAAGATGATCGAGTTCAACAGAGTGAAAAGCTTGAGACCAAGCGAGGAAGGGAAGGTAGAAGGAGGATGTGTGTCTTTCATGGAGTTCGATCAGGCGTCTGACTAGCAAGATGAGGGTCGAGGTGGAGCGAGCTTGTCTGAAGCCAAACTGCTGATTTGGAAGGAGATGGTCGACTGCGGAGGAAATTCGCAAGTGTACCCGAGATGCGTAAAAAATATAAATGGTATTTGCGAGACAAACGGGACGATAGGATGATGGAGACTTGGAGTCTTTGGATCCACCTTTAAAAATCATAACTATACGGGCACTTCGCCAGTAGTCGGGGGATTCTGAGCGGAGGAAGGCTTGAGTAAAATGAGAAAGGAGCAATGTCTTAAAAATTGCGGGGGCGTGTTTATACCACTCGGTCGGTATTCCGTTCGGACCGCGGCTCCTCCGCGGCTTCACTCTGCGCAGGGCATCGTCCAGCTCCCAGGGCGGGAAAGGTGGCTCGCAAGCACACTTTTCTGTAATGATGTGGTGATCTGTCCCTTGGTATTGCGGACAGCTTTAATGACGGTTTGTATTGTCGTCGAAGCATTTTTAGGGTCTTCCATTGCTGTGCGGGAGGAGAATGAGTGCGGTAGTTTGGTCAACAGAAAATGGTTGGAGCTGAGAAAGATGCTCATTATATAGGATTTTGGGGTGTGTATCACATTGACCGCCTACCGCGGCAGTTTGTGTGGAATAGGTCTTCATCATTCCTCTGCTTGGTCGGCAAGGTGCTTTATCAAGCTGGCAAAAGAGGATTGCGAGTGTCTCACTTCACATTTCTGCATGCCATTTTCCTTGATGCGCTTTTTGGCAACGCCATAGCTTTCCCGCGGGGTGGGGAGGGGGCCATGCTTGGGTTGTTTTGTCGCTTTGGAGCTGGGGCTGTGGGGGAGGGGGCTGTCGTCGGCGGATTGCACGGAACTCGTTTCTGATTGGTTGCAGATATAAGCAGGGAGTCTTGTGGCTTGGCTATGGTTCGTTGGCAAGCGAATCCGCGGCCTGTAAGTGTTAGTTTGGAATGTGTCTAAGCAGCCCACCCTTTTTGGACGGTGTTTGAAAAGAAAACACATCTCCTTGACATGGCAACCCAAAAAGGCGGCTCTTTCCTTTTGGCCCTCAACAGAGATTCCTCCAGACAACATGTGGCCTCCAGTTTGAGTTTCACCTGATTGTTTTCATGAATGAAGCGCTTGAGCACGTTCGGCTCAAAGCTTATCATCGCTTCTCGTGGGGCAGCTCCGCGAGGTGGATTTCCGATGCTACTGTGTCACAAACACAACTGACAAGTGCTTGGGGAAAGATTTGAATCAAGGTAAACCGATTTTGACCAATGGTTCTTCGACACCATATGAAAGCATTCCCGGTTGACAGGGGATTTTGAAGCTCTGAACAGGGTATGCGTCAAAATTAACCCACTAGGGGACCACAGGTTTTAGTCATTTTTGCCACTTACCAGGGTGCCATTTTGGGTACCTATTTTTGACCCACAGCCATAACAGTGAGAAAGTATTTGTTTGAGCTAGGCCTGGACTCCAATTGTTGCCATGCTGCCATGGGCGGGTCTTTAGCTTCGCACGCAGCGCTTTGGCGCCTGGATGTCAACAGATGCCCAGGGCTGGCCGAGCTATTCCAAGAACCCCTGGGTTACAAAGTGGACCCTGGAGGTCTTTAACCAACAACGGCTGGATGTGCTTTCATGTTCCTGGCTTCGACTCCTCACACTGAGTCCTTAGGTGAACTCGCTCCGAGGCTCTATGCAACCGAAGTTGTGTACACGCAGGATTTGTATGTAGCGTCACATTGGGAATTATCTTCAAACAGATGACAAACCGGCTGGGTCAGCTCGAGCCTTATGCCCCACTAAAATGCGGCTTCGTGAACCAGGGCTGCATGCAGCCTTCCAATTTGGGTCTGCAGATTTGAATATGCTTTGTTCGATCAGATGATGAGGCCTACAGGAGACCTTGTGGGGATCGAACACATGATGAACCAATTGCAATCTACACAGTGTATCAAGACTCCAGTAGCATGAAGAAATCCAGATGTGCAACATGGTGATGGCTTTAAACATAAACCCAAAAACACCTGCCCAAACGTGGGGTGCGTTTTTTTCTTCGCGGGTTTCCCCCACTGGGCTCAGGGGTTTAAAGCGGGCAGGTGGAGCCTCGCGAAGTCGCCTGTGCTGGGCTGCAAGCTGCCTTCGGCAGAGGCAAAGGCTCTGAAAGCGGTGCTGGACGGTTTGGGCGTGGAAGACGAGGCTTGGGAGCGACGTTTGGGGAGGGGTCCATGGCGTTTTCTTGAAGGACACGCCTTTTGGGTCTTGGAGACTTTTAAAAGGATGTTGAAGGTTGTTGAAACTGCCTTTTGCTTTGCTGGCGCGTGCACTTCTCGGAATGTGTGTTGGGCGCTTCTTCAAGGCAAGAGAAGGTTAAAGGCTGAGTCTGCATCTTCTTGACACCTCTGAAGAGACCCGGTCCGAACAAGTTTGTGTCCACATCATATTTAGAACCCCCACCCCCAAAGGGTTGTTTCTGAATATGAGGTCATCATTACCATGTTTGTGAAATCCCCACTTTAAGACAGCTGTCTGGGCAGTTTGTGTTTACTCAGGCTGACCAGTGCGACGTGCGAGGGGTGACCTGCGAAGAGGCGAGCCGTTCTGCTCACCGACGGTTGAGTCTGCCCCTTTCAGTTTGGTTAGGATACCAATTGGTTGGCACCGATTTGTAGGGTCCCCCAAGTTTCACGAGTCATGGTTTGTGATTTGGAGTGACATTCGGTAGCGTTCTTTTTTTTGGGAAAAGCACAGCGGCGCTGCCGCATCGCCAGAAAGTGTCACACTCAACAAGCTCAGCACTACCCGGTTTAGGATCACATACTATACAGGAAAGCACGATGGGCTCTGCAGCGTGGCAGACTTGGGCCCCTTTTCCGGATCTTTTGGTTTCGCAACCGGCGACCTTTCGCTTGCTGTTGCGCAGGGCCTTCCGGTCAGGGAAAAATCTAAATACGTTGATGCCATGCTTTTCGACCGGCGGCCTAGCCTTGCCTTTTGTCCCTCACCCGTCTGGCCAGAACGGGGTTGGGCACGGAATCAATTAGGATCGACTAATGTAGGGAAACCTGAATTCCGCCGGTCTCTGAGGCGATGTTTAACGGTGACAAGGATTTAAGGGTTCAAAAGCATGCCTCATTGCCCTTTTGGGTCCAATAGACGCGGAGAAAGGGCTGCCCTTTCAAGTCCCAACACGTCCTTTGTTATACCACAAACAAACATCGACAAGTGGGGTACTTTCTCAAACTGCAGGCAGATAGATATCGGCCCTTCGGATTCTTCGCCTGGCTTTGGGTTCTTTTGCTGGATTCCCCGTTTTTCCAACTTCCGCAAACGTGTTTTTCTAGTTTCGCTTCAAGTGCGTGTTAAACTAAGTGGTTTTCATGTTCGGCGCTGGGAGTTCTGACCTGGTGCCTAAACCCTCTGGGCGCTTCCAGGACACGAGCAGCCCGGGTCACTGCCGCGTGGTGAAGCTGAGCTTCCGAGACTCCGCGCTGAGCGGCACGCTGCACGAGGCCGTCGGCCACTTCCAGCGGCTTCGGGAGCAATCGAGCGGGGGCTTCGGGGCTTCGGGGAAGGCAGGGGATCCGGTTGCATCCGGTTGCATCCGGTTGGGTTTCCTTTGGATGTGGTTCATTCCCAAAGCCCTTCTTGATTCCCTGATAGTCAGCATGTTGAAGCTAGGTGGTTTCCTTGTGGCTTCACTCTAAAACCAGCCAAAAAGGGGGGCCACGTCGAGGCTCCCAGTCTTTTGCGGAGGTTTTGGGTCCCGCGGAGGTGGTCAGAAGGCCGGCTTGAATCAAGTGTCCTTGGAGTGGGGTGGTGTTGAAACGGCACATATGGGGAGCCCTGTTCGGGACCAGAAAAAGAGAGGTGACAAGGCGGGTTGTTTAGCTGTTTGTGGGTGGTTCGTTTTCTTTAGCTTCCCTTGCAGCGAGTGGTCTCGATTTCCAGGAGGCACCCACATGGATACGCGACAGTTTTCGCCAAGTGCTTCCACAAAGCCGTGCCCCAAAACAGTCCCTGGCTGCTGACACGCCTTGTTCAGGCCATCCCAAATGTCTTTTGATGGCCAGCTTTGAAGTGAGCTTCCTTCGGCTGATGTAAACACCTGACATCTGCAACATAAGTGTGCTATTTGTCGCAGAAGGCCGTCTTTTGTCGCGTGGAGTGACCGAGAAACCACCGCGCCGGAGGAGCTGAACCTGCGGTGGTGCAAGGTGAGCGGTGGCCTCCCGGAGACTTTGGGCCAGCTGGAGGCGGGGGTTCTCTTCGGAATCAACAGGTCCAGGCCCCCTTTGAAAGTGGATGTTCCCTCTTGGAAGTGGCCCAATTTGCCGTGTTAAGTTGTTTGGTGTTTTCTTTGGGGGGAGAAAGGTGGAAAGGCGGGGGTGTGCGAGAAGAGCCACAGGCGCTGGACAAGCTGACTTTGCCCTACAACCAGTTCACTGGGCCTCTGCCGCGGTCTTTGAACAAGCTGCGGAACCTGAAGCAGCTGGACATGGGGTACAACCAGCTGACTGGGCGGATCCCCAGGCGGGTGCGCGTCAAAACCGACATTTGGAGCCCCAAAGATAGCGAGTTTCCATGTGGGTTTCCTTAAAAACCGCCCAGCACACCATGATTTTCTCCTTGGTTTCCCTTTAAGAGGCGCTTCAAAAAGGGCACCGGGTACCTCCCGATTTGAAGAATTTCAGGTCTTGGGGCGAGCTGACTGCGCTGAAGCAGCTGCACCTGGGGGGGAACCAGCTGGAGGGCCCTGTGCCACAGAGCCTGGGGCGCCTGGAGAACTTGGAGCTGCTGAGGCCGGCGACCGGAGGTTTCAAGCGCTTTGTTCGGGGCCCTTGGGGAGAGGTTCCTGAAAAAAGAGTTGCTGGTCAGGGAATGAGGGAATTGGCTTTTCCTTTAAGGAGACTGTGTTCATTCCTGAGCACCAGCAAGAAGAGTCAAAACAGAGTCGCGCCTGTTGAGGGTGCCCTGTTTATAGGGCACCTTGTGGTTCTCCCACCATTCCCACGTTGAAACTGGGCTACGTCTAGCAAGGCTGCATGACAACCTCCTCTCCGGCGGCATCCCTGAGACTTTTGCGCAGCTGCAAGAGCTGCGGCGAATGGACTTGGCCTGCAACCGCTTGGAGGGGGAGCTGCCGGCCGCATTGGTGGGCCGGCTCCAGAAACTCAGGGCGCGCCCTGGGCAACAAGAACATGGGAGTCCTTGTGGTTGTTTTGGAGGCCTTCCAAACTCGCTAAATGGGCGATTTGGCGTCCCCCCCATTTCAATGTGGTTTCCACGGTTTCCTTGGTTGGAAGCTTAGGAGCAACCTTGATTTTCCGGCCTCAGGTTCCCTCAGGTTCCCTCTTGGTTTCCCTGTCAAGAATCAACCGGTTTCGGGTCTTCTTCGCCCGGAGCTACTTTGGGCCAGGAGCTGAACCTTGATGGCAACAGGCTGAACGGGAGCCTGCCCGAACTCGGCAGCACCGAACTGCGAGAGCTCCACCTGGGCAGCAACCACCTCGTTGGGCCCTTGCCGAGCCGCTGGTATTTGCCCAGACTGCACACGCTGAATCTGGAGAACAATGGGCTGTCCGGACCTTTGCCGGACTTACACCAGCAGGTGGTGGGTGTTATGTCAAGTTAGAAATGGCCAATTGTCAGCTTTTTCAATCAATTGGAAATGGCTTAGAAAGGGACGTGAATTTGGTTGTTTTCAAAGGGATGCAGGGACGCCCCGCCAAGTTTTCTGTGGGCATGTTTTTCTTTTGCGCAGCTCTCCTTCGGTGTAATGCTCAAGGACTTGTTGCAATCCCCAAAAAGAATCAAAGGCCACTTTAAAAGAGGAATCCCTGGAAACGGGGCCCTGGTGTCCGTTGATTGGCTACAACCTCCTTGCTTGCAGAAAGGCACAATCATCTTGAATGCAATCTGAAACTTGGACCTTTCTGTTGGGCTTGATCGATCCGCCATTCTGAAATCGATCCCGCCAGATACCCATACTGGCGGAACTGAGATTGGGGGGGAACCGCCTGAGCGGGCAGATCCCGAAGTCTTTTGGCAAGCTCAAGTGGATGCAGACGCTGGACCTGTCCAGGCAAGGGGTGCTTTGCAAAGTTTTGCGGGGCCTCTCTCGGTGGTTTTCTTTTGATTTCCATGGATTCCACCCAAAAAGGGCCCCCGGTTTGCGGCAGACTGCGTGAAGCTCCTAGCAAGCGGTTTTGGATAAGACATCGGGACGCTTCCTCTGTCTCTGAAGAGAAACGCCCCATCTTCCTCGCGTTTTGTTGCACATGTTCTGAAGAGAAGGATCCCGGAACAGAATGGGAGGGTACCATTAGCTAACCATTCATTCATTAAATGAGTGGCTCGATTTGCGGTTTGGAGATTCGGGGGATACTGCAGATACCTTCAAACAACAAAACTTTCACAAACACATGGTTTCAAACTGAAGCCACAAATTGAATCCGCCAAAGGGTGTTAAACAAGCTCAAACACTTGGTCCTGTGCAGGAACCATTTTACCGGCCACGTACCCATGTCCTGCCAGTCCCTACACATGCTCACGCAGGCCTATTTCTATGGCAACAAGGACTTCGACCCTTTTGGGATTTTTGGTGCTTGGAGGGTGTTCTCCATTAAACAAACATCGCACGTGGATTTGTGGTAAGTTGCTTTCAGAATTTGGGGAACCCATTTTGGAGGTGATGGACGATTAAGGGACACCACAAGGAACCAGCGCATTTTGTGAGAACCGCCCCCATTCAATGCGTTTGTCTGAGAGAGCGGGAGGGTAAATGGGGAGTCCTTGGAGGCCTTCTTGAGTGCAGAGGGAAACCAAAGCAACGCTTCCCATTTTTTTTTTTGGGGGGGGCGCATTTCATTCAATAGAAGCCTGGGCGTCGGAACCGGGGATTCTCCTTTTTGATGAGGACATGAAGCCGGAGATGACCCAGGTGCGGAACTGCGCGCCCTTTGACGTGGACTGTTGCAAGATCTTCGTTTACTTGGACACCGAGGCTGGATGCATTAATGGCTGTTTTTAGTGGAACCAGTGTCTGCTTAACCAATGAGTGTACAAGCGTGTGTGTGTGTGTGTGTGTGTGTGTGTGTGTGTGTGTGAAGCGTCCTGGAGCACGGACGGAAATTCCACATTGCAGGGGGACCAGGCGTCTTGCTGCTGACCTGGTCTAACAAAGCTAGGCAGCAAGACGGGATACCGGAATTGGCCATTCCGGCGTACCTGCCATCCTTTCGTGACCTAATGTGTTTCCTCGGTTTACCACTGTTTGCTTCATGTTCGTTTTCGATGATGTGACATTTGCACTGCAGATTGATTTTTTCATGCCTTTTCAGTACAATCGCGTGTCTGCAAGAGCAGCCTCTCGAGATAAGTGTGTTTACCCACGGCCTGTCCGACATGGCGCTGTGGGCTGGACTCGCCACATGCGGGAGCCCCCTGCGAGGGGAAGACCGTTCATACGTTCAAATTCAACCTGCCGTTCAGCGCGTTTGACCACGATCAAGGCTGCAGCTTGAGGTCTTAAGGTATTCCGCACCCAAATGGTGCTCTGCTGGTTTCATGCGCGTTGCACTGCCTGCACTGCCTGCCTTTGAAGCAAGGCTGCACCCACGAGGTTTCAGGTTCCTAAGCTTCATGCGCCAGTGACGAGTTGGTCATACACCAACTCTGCAATTCGTGGTGTTTATGGAAGCTTTCGTCTCGGATGAGTTCAGTTCAGATTCATCGGCATAGCCACATGAGGCACTTTCATGAGGCCACTTGACAGGCACCTCTGAGAACCCCTTTGTGCTCGCATGCATTTGCACCATTGACGCATTTTTGCTCGCATGCATTTGCACCATTGACGCATTTTTGCCGCAGTTGTGGTTTTGTTTCACCCCTTTCCAACCTTCTCTCTCCCTTGCGAGATGGCTGGACACCAGCTCTATGACATGATGCATTCGCTCCTGCACAGCATTGCGACCGGCACCGCGTCCGGCTCACCAGGCAATTGTGGACCGAACTTGCAGCTGTCATCCCAGATGACGCAGCCCATGAACCTTGTACCGTCACCCAACTCGCAGACGGCATCCTTCACACCTTTCCCCATGATGCCCTACGGCGGCCTCTCGAACTTTGGCAACCCGATGGCCATGATGCCCTACGGTGGCCCTCCCAATTACGGCAACTTGGCACCTGGCACCATCATGCCTTTCATGACTCAGAGCAGCATGCCATCTTCACTGCCCGAGCCTCAGCCGGCGCGCGCGCCCGAAGCTGCCGCTGCGGCTCCTGCCGCTACCTCCTCAACCAACCACCCTCCCCCGGACACTCGGCACCATCCCCACTCTCGCAGATCCCGTTCCCGCCACAGACAGCACCGACACTCCCACTCCCACACCAGCCACCATCGCAGGCACAACAAGTCGCACCGACGACACGACACCCGACGATCCCGCAGCTACAGCAGGTCACGTTCCCTTTCCCGACACTTCCACCACTCCCGACGTGCACACCACTCCACTGTCTCCCTCCGCTCCCGCTCCCCCCGACACAGGTCCCACCATCGACACTCCCCTGCACCCAGAGCCACGACTTCGCACCGACCCACTCACACTACTCATGATTCCACCTCCTGGCGCACTTCCGGGAAGGATTCCAACAAGTCTCAATGGTCCTCCTCACACTGGCGGAACCAATCGTGGGGATACCCACCACAGAACAAAAACCGCTGGGACATGCACCACCATGGCGCCAGCCACACCGGCCACCGAAACAACCAGGACAAACGATCGTCCTGGTCACTGCAGCACCATGGGCAGCAACCCCACCCCACTTCCCGCACCGGCCACCACAACACTAGCTTGCCCCCTCACCCAGCACCTGCGGCGGCCTTCACTTCCACTCCCCCTCCCCCTCCCCGACCCACGCCGGCTACTCCTCACCCTCCCCAACCCCCTTCGACAACACCGGTGATTTGGATCCCCCTCCATCGGAGGCGGACATCAATGCCACCACCACTTCCGACAACCGGTGGCTTGATCTATGGAGAAACGTCATGGACACGGCCAAGACTGACCCGCTGCGAGTTCCCACGCCTAGGGAGTTGGGGGAGCTGGACCCGCTTCCAGCCTTGGACATCTCCAGGGTGGAACAGACTAAGGCCATTTTGATGGACCTGGACCCTGCTTTGCCACCTTCACATGCCGATCTCCTCGCGGAATGCTGGGAACTGCGAACCATGGACACGGATGATCCCATACCGTTCGATCCCAGCTTCTACCACCTCTTGGGACGGGAATCACACGGCATGGTGTTCGCAACCACTTGGTTTCCCCGACCTCATCCTTGGCCAGTTGCTGGCGGAGACCCGGAAGCTGGATCCGGCACGGCCTCCCATCACGCTGTCATGTATGTGCACGGCACCACCCCGGATCGAGTGCGCCGCATGTGCCATGAGAACATGATCCGACCCGCTGCTTGGAGGCCCGAGAACCATGACTACCCGAGCTTTGGATGCTACGCTCAGGCCACCCCCACGGCATGCACGCCCGACACGCTCGGCCAGCTCTTGCAGAACTTTACAATCGGAAAGTCTCAACTCGGCGCCATCGCTTTTGGGGAACTACGCTCCATCAATCAGCACAAAATCCTCGAATCCGGGGGAAGCCACGAGGATCAACACAACGTGCGGCGCCACTTCGCATGCCGCCGAGGCAAAAAGTGGTGCCTTCACTCCAAGTTTGCGATGCTGAGAGGCATCGCGCTGCAGCGCCCGGCTTAGCGGGGCGCAAGTGTACCATCTTCCACCCAACCAGGAAAAGAATTGGTGCACTGTTTGATCGCCTTTTTTCTTTGCTTTGCTGTTCTGCCTTTCCGCGACCGTTCTCTCACCTTGTGACCTTACCCGCTTGATTCCGCTCACCAGCTTTTGGTTCGAACATTTCCTTTTCCCCCGTGTTTTCTCATGGCTTTCCAACCCCCTCGAGGTTTGGTTACGGCGCTCCAAAGGCAAAACTTACCACCGCAGCCTTCGCCCACGGCATCCCATCATCATGGCATCGTGTACGGCAACAACATGGCCGGGAACCCGTGCGGGGCCCTGTCCGGGCCTTCCTACGGATGCTCTTCCACGGCATCGGCACCGCCAGCTACACATCCGACTCCCTGTCAGACCTACGGCCAACCTATTCCCCGTTACCCACCACACCCCGGCCCTCGTCCACCCTCCTTTGGCGGCTCTCTCCCCCCCCCTCCCGGCGGCAACCCCTTTCCCCCCCCTCCCCCCGGCCCCTTCTCCCGCCCTCCCCCTTCCCCCTCCCCCTCCACCGCCTCGCAATCCAAACCTCCCCCGGCCCTTCGACCCATCCACTCAGTCCCAACACCAACCGAGTTCAACCCTGGCGACGATCACTACGACACCACCCGCGTCGCGGGGTACGACCTGCCCAAGGTCATAACGCACACCGCGTTTACTCGGCAAATGGGCATCGAGGGACAAGACATCGCTCGCGTCCCCCTCCTCCACTTCATGCACGAACAGTGGAACAGTTGGTGGTTGCGTCACCTCGCCCACGGAGGCGAAGTCCGCATCGTTGTCGCAAAGTCGATGCCGGAATCAGTGTTTGCTGCTGGACTACTCAGCCAAATCCGACAACGGCACCTCGACCTGGACGCCCTCGCCCTCCATGTAGCCACGCAGGAGGGCGCCTCGACCACCAAACCAGCAGCCATGAAGCTACTCACCAGCAAGATCTTCGACTTCCTCATCTCCCTCCGACCCACCACTACGGCCGACCCGGCCTCCGCGGCCACCATACTCCAGCTTCAGCAACAGCTTGCTGACGCACACAACCAACTCGCCCAGCAGGCTTCATCCCCCCCTCTCCCCCCCACACCCACCTCATCCAACAAACGCCCAGCCAATCCATCTCAGGCCTCCCTCCTGGACTTCGGCATGAAGCGACCACGGTTGACTACACCTGACACATCACCGCAGGACGGATCCCCCGCTCTACCCCTGCCCACTCGCATTGCAGACGACTCCCAACCCCCCCCGGCTCCCCCCACCCACGGCGGCAACCCTCCAGCCCCCTCCACCCACGGCGGCACCCCGACCCCTCCCCCCCTCCCCTCCCCACCCACTTGGAAGGAGCCCCGCGACTTGCTCCAACCACCTCCCCACGTTTGCCAATGGCTCACCAGCAACTTCCCACCCGACATTTCCGACACCAAAGTCCAGCGATGGATCACCTCTCAGAAAACCAGCAAAGAGAGCAAGCAAGTCCTAAAAAGCTGGTCCAACGACTGCGCAAAATGGGCAACCACACTGGACTCCGACACCAGAGCCCAACTCGAACGAGCCGCTGTGCTATGGGGCATCCCGGTGCGAACCCTATCAAAACTGGGGTCATCGGCCTTGGGCCGCATCCTGGCCGCTGCGAGTCACTTCTACCAGTGACTCTCAACAGCACACCGACAACGACGCACAGCCAGGCAGCACAAATTTTGGCAACACCACTGCTGCCAACTTCTCACTGTCCTCCGTTTCACTCTTCGGTTCTTCCCAACCGATGACGTCACCGCACGTCATTCTTGCTCCTGGCTACTCGCACAGCTTCAGCTACTTGACGTCTGCCATCTCTCCTGTGGTTCCGGCAGACTGAAAGCCCTGCTTACTCGACTTGGCCTGGACAACCCTGCTTCCGATTTCTCTTCTCAGCTTGTCCCTTCAGCGGTTTATCTGAGATTCACCAGCCATCCAAAGTGGCAGGCCTTTTTCTACCTCGGAGCCACTCGCGCCTCCCTCATGGCACGGGGCCGCAGCCAACTTCGCAAACTACTCCAAGTTCAGCGACATCATCTGGTCAATGCCGAACTGGCAGTCCGGTGGTGGGCACATTTTGACTTTTTCCACCACTACACCTCGGTGCCCATTCACACTGTCGTTCCGGCAACGGACCTATTTGCCACTGAACAGTTCTACATCCAGGAACTGCAACCGTCTCTCAATTTTGGCTTCATCGAGAAACATTTCCGGCCACGCACGGGCTTCATACGCCAATTGGACTTCTCCCAATCCCGGCACATGGGCTTCGCCACCATCTGGCGAAAACGCCGCCGACTACGACTACCCATCGCCCTACAACAGGCCTTCCTGGCCAAACGCGTGGACAACCGCCTGGATTTGTGGCGATTTTTGGGCGATCTTGGCAGCAACACTCTACGACGATTTGATGCCATCCGTTACATACGGAGCAGAGACTTCCCACCCGCCGCTCTCTATGTCCTTCATCGCATAGCCACACACCTGCCTGAACCACACCACCAGGCATGCCTTTCCGCCATTCGATCCAGTTTACGATTCCGGGGCCTCATTCCACCTGGCCCCTCCAGACCGATGCTTGCACCCTTCCTCGCCTGGCGACTACTGCTAACCTGGTACCGACAACGACAACCACACTCCTCTACCACACACCTCACAGTGGACACACTTGACACCTCTGCCATCACCCGCGTCTACAACGGACGCCGTCGCCGACACAAACCCACACAACGCACCCTGTGGCTCGACGACATCCCCGAGATCATTCAGGCCACCCTTGACATGCAGATCTTCTCTGTCGGCCTTCGTTCATTCAGGCAAACACGTGGGGCACCGATGGGATCCCCCGCGTCCCCAGCTCTCTGTTTGATGGTGATCGCGGTCGCCGAACAATGTTGGACCAACACTCACATCACATCGGGACTTCGCTCCGTTGAAGATACTCTCCTACTCCGCTACGTGGACAACAGACTCGTGATCGCAACCCCCAGGTGGCTCTCGACTCCGGCAGCCAACATACTGTGCGACGAACACTTCTATGGAGGAGACATCTTCCTGGACACAGAAGCCGCCCTGGACTTCTTGGGGTTCCGACTGAACCTCACAAGCAGCACCATCTCCTTCATCCCCTCGCATGAGAAGCACAACATGCTCTCCGTCAAGTCAGCCGCACCACTGATGCATAAGGAATCTGGATGTTATTCCGGACGCACGCTGATCAACCGAGTTTCCTTTCCTGAGTTTCAGCGAGGTCAGGGTCTTGCAATGTTGAAGAGGTTGCACCTCCAACACGGTTTCACCTTACAAAGAGAAGAAAAACCGTCCTTTGCGGAACCACACTGGTTTTCTTCTCTGCCTTTGCATCCTGACAGATTTGACCTGATTTTCGCGCCGCAGCTGTTTGACTGTTTGACCAAAATCCGTTACGAGCATGGATACCAACACAGCACGCCAGCTGCTCCAAGACTTCGAACTCATCCTTGGCATTGCCCAACAAGGCATCGCCACCATCCGCGAGTTCCCTGAGAGTCCGCCTGCCGAACCTGATTTGGCACCGGAGGCCACGCTCAACCCCGCCATTGAGGACCTGACCAACTCACCACCAACACCCCTCCTGGCCCCCCTCGAGGACCTCTTTGAGCCACCTCCTGATGCTCCAGATGAACACCTTCCCACTGATCATGACGAACAATTCCCTGATCATTGGGCTCCGCCCACCCCTCCTCCGTCTTCTCCCGGCGAAAAACGAGCTCGCCGCGCACGTGATTTGGCCTCCTCACGATCTACGGCATCCAAAACCTGCTCGTGGACCAAGCGAAGCTACCACATCGACCAGGACTGATGCCTCTACTGAGGCCGAACCTGAAGCCTCGCAGCCTTGGACTGAGGGAGAGATTGAACTCCTCCGTTCCCTTAAGACCAATTCCAAAGCCAAGTATGTGTGGTCAGTCATCGCCACAAGACTTTCTCGCACAATTGATGCTTGCAAGACTCAATGGGCCTTGCACAAGTGATGTCGCCCCAGTTGGGGCTCCGTGTGTGTGAAGCGTCCTGGAGCACGGACGGAAATTCCACATTGCAGGGGGACCAGGCGTCTTGCTGCTGACCTGGTCTAACAAAGCTAGGCAGCAAGACGGGATACCGGAATT